TAACAACTGTTAACGAGTAGGTACTAAATCGGCTCGTTTTTAAAGTTCGGGTACTGAATTGTTGCATTTTAAAGTTTGAGGACCAAAGTGGCACTAGGTCCAAAGTACAGCCGTACAGGGTACTAATTGGGAATTTTCCCATAATTATGCCATTAAGTACTCTCTCTTTCAATAACTCATGCCACTAATTCTTTCTCATCTCTGTTACTCCATTAAATTACATAAAATTCATTAACTTATTTGCATTGAACTATAATTATCAATAATTGAAATTGAGATATTCAATGATATGTTATTGTGCTAAATAGTCCACTTCTATATTCCATTTGAAAATAATAAAAATTAACTAACTACAATAAAAATAATTATTAATTTAGTCCACTTCTATTATTAATTTAGTAAGTTTCTTAAATAAAATAAAAATAATTATTAATTATTGCTATTAGTAAAATATTTTTATTAATATAATAAAAATAACTTAATTAATAAAATGGATATGATAAATTAAAAATTAATATAAATTTAAAATTAATATAAAAATAATAAAAATTTATCTAACAATTATTAGTTTTATAATTAAATTTTATTAATTCAAAACCAACTTAAGTTCCACTATATATATATATATATATATATATATATATATATATATATATATATATATTAAGGAATTTTAATTTAATAAGAACTTAATATATTTAAATTTTACAAATTTCAAAAATAATAAAAAGTATTATTTTTAAAATTAGTTTAATTTTTTTAATCAATTTAAAATTCCATTTAAAATAAGGAAAATTATAAAAATCACCTTGGGTTTTCTAACAATCCTATGAAACTCCCTAGTGTTTTGACCCTAACAAAAACCTCCTCTATTGTTTTGGAAAAAAAAAGGTGCAAATACCTTCCTTTAATCAGCATTCCAAATAAAAAAAATGTTGATGTAATGCATTTTAATTTTACTTCACTTCAGCCTTTTTACGTTTGTCCAAGAAGAGTAAGGAGAATTATTCTTTGAAAGTTGTCTAGCAAAATAAATTAGTGGAGGATAAAGTTGAAACTTTAAGTTATGTATGATAATGCATTAACAATGATAATGGTATTTTGGTAACTTCAATGTCTTTGTTACTGAAGAGCTAAGGGAAATGAGATGTTTGCACTTTTTTCTCAAAACTATAGGGAAGGCCTTTGTTGGGTCAAAACACAAAGGTGGTTTATAGAATTGTTATAAGAAGATTTTTTTWTATAATTTTACCTAAAAATAATAATAAACGGATAAAAATTAATAAAAAAATCTTTTTCAAAAAAAAAATAAAAATTAGCATTAAGATACAAAAAATAATATAAATTTATCTAAAGAATAGGAAACTAGCCACTCTCACTAAAGCACAACTTAGATTGTGACCGGATAAACTAGACATAACCCCAAAAAATAATGCTTAAATTTAACTTAGATTGACACAATTTAATTGAAAATGTCATAGAACTCCATCTTCGATTTTGCTAATAAATAAAGATTGGGCATTTCACGGGTCCTAAGTAGTTTAGGTAGTAAAGTGACACACCCCCATGGTTCAAGGGGATTTTGGAGTTTATCCTTAATTAAAATAAGGGTATTATTTGTGAGTTCAGATGTGCTACAGGATCTTGATCAAGAGATATTCTTGATGTGAGGTTGTAGGATCGTGTGTCCAGCATATTGTCACTAGTAGACCAGGACTTGTGTGTCCAATGTCCATGCATGTGTTGTGGCAAACACTAAACTAATCCCTTGGGCTACAAATTGTGTATCTAATTTGGAGAATTTAGGGTTCATTTGGTTTATAGTTGGAATCGAAATTGGAATCAGAATGGTCTATTTCAATAGTCTATTCGGTTCAAACAGGAATTGGAATTAGCTACAATGATACTTCATTCCCAAGGGAGGGGGAGGGAATGTTCATTTTCTCAAATAGGGGAATACCATTCCACCAGAAATAAGAAAGGGATTCCGATTCTGCCCAACCAAACAGTTGGGATTGGAATGGTTCATTCCTATTCCAAACCTCTATTCCCACAAACCAAATGGGCCCTTAATCAATTTATAGAGTATTGAGTATGGGCCCACACAAAGTTTATCTGATGCTCAATAAGAAGCTAAGTTTCACACTTTACTCCATTGATTTGTGGGATGGGAAGGGAAAAAGGAATATTCAAGAATATTCTCCTTTTCCCATGTTTGGTATGTGGGACATCATGTGATGGGATGGGGAAAATGTGGAATTACAATTTTCATTTTTTGGGTGTGAAATCATATCATTGTTTGTTTGAAACAATGGAGGAGTAGGGGTCCATCATATATTTAAATATATGTATTTTATACAGTGTGTTATATTGTTTATTTATATAAACATTATAATATGATATTTATAATATATATTGTATGTAAGAAAAATCTCTAATATTGGAAAAATATGTTACCAAAAGAGCTTTGACCGATCAAAGCTCCCCCCATAAATAGTGATTAATACCACCCAATTGGTCATCTCTTTTATGATACTAGTTAATTGGCGCACAGTAAAATCTTCCAATATCATAGTTGAATCGATTATATGTAATATTTTATATTGCAACCTAGCTCTATCTATAGGGTGAAAGTGGTACTTGATCCCAAGCTTGAGGTATGATGGCCAACACCTAAACTCGTCTAACAATTTTGTAACTACTTTTGTGAACACTTTTAAGGTTGTGTTTGGCACCATACTATATTTATTTGAAATGTTTGGATCGATGAATACAAATCAAATCAATGAGAGATGTGTTGTCATGTCACATATGCAAGTCACTTCAATTACAACAATAAACATCAATTTGACATCTCCTCAAACAGTTTTAAATGACACAGTTGTAGCCGAGTTGTATCATAGTAGAAGCAACTAAGATACCAAACACAAATGATTTATACAAAAAAGTTTTGGAGGATTCCACTACCTTAATTGCTTTTACAAACTTTTGGCACAATATAATCAACAAGGTTGGATAGATCAATGTGAAACAAATTAACAACTCATCTCAAGACTCTCGGTTCAATTAAGCCCTGTCCCTACTTTATGGGGTTAGCTCCCTGAATCTTCTTCTGCCATTTCACTCTATCGAGAATGTGACAATTCAGGCTCCAACATGACACAGCCTCCATTCAAGCTTGACAAGTTTTTAGTAGGGAGTGCAAATTTAACACTAATCAGATGATTCATTGAGCCATTAAGTACTGATCTCGCAATCTCAAATCTGTGGCAAATTTTTTCATAAAACTAGGGTTTAATCCATGTGGACTTGGGAGATGGGGAAAATCTCCTAATTTTAAATGGGGACTATGGGAGATGGGGAAAATCTTTTTGCGATTATTAGGGGTGTTCATGGTTCGGTTAATCGAATTATGGTACTTTTTTATAAATCGAATCGGTGGTACAGATTTTTCCAATTCTTCAAATCGAAACCGAATTGGTACCACCAGTTAAYTGGTTCTTCGGTTTCGGTTTTTGATTGATTCGGTTCTTCGATTTTTTATATTTATAATATATATTATACAAATATATGTACAATATTATATAATAAATAATAAATGATATATAAAATATTATAAATATTTGAAAAATATATAATATATTTATAAATAGATCATTATAAATATAATATAAGTATGTATTTATATATATAATGAATATATATTTATATATAATACATAGAAAATATGTGACATATATTAAAAATATATAAAATATACCGGTCGGTTCGATTAACTGTTGGTTTTTTGTAGGTTAATCAAAAACCGAACTGCATTTTTAAAAATCCCAAACCGATCAATTCGATTAACTGCATTTTGCGATTCAGTTTTCTTGGTTTGATTCGGTTTTTCAGTTTTTATGAACACCTGGAATAAGGAATTTTGGCTACTCCACCCATTCACACGATCATACCAAGTAGTTGGAGACTCCTGCCAACCAAAGTGCCTCCAAACCAGTTCCAATATGATTCGTGTTTGTATATCATGTGTGAGACCCACCATACATGCGGTGTGGGAGTTGGGATCTTCTGCCAATAAAACATGTTCCAACCCTCTATCAACTTGATCTAATACCTTGCATCTCAAACGTATTTTGTTGGGAGGTAGAGGTGATCCATAATCGTGGTGTGGTGATGTACAGAGATGAATTATATTGGAACATGTTGGGAGGGACTTTTGTTGGCAGGAGATCCGAACAGGATCATACCCGCCCCATTGCCAATTTGGCCCAATTTGCCATTCCTATCCACAACTAGAAAATGACGTTACAAGAAAATCAGCTGGCCTCTTCATCTAATCTAAAATTGGTTTGGTTGTTGGTGTTCGGTGCCTCACACCAACCTGATAGCACGTTTTGGCCGTGCATCCGAAACATCTCCGTACTTATAAATTTTTATTTATAGGAGATATTCCAGATGCACGGCCGAAACGTGCTGTGAGATCGGAACGTGCTGAGCCGTTGAGTTAGAGCAGATCCGGAACTCTTGCTTATTGGGCGAGATTCGGGCCATAATTGTTATGCGTTCTGTGGATGTGGAATGTACAACTTTTACCTCATGCTAAAAATGGCCCGGCTTCAGTTAGAACAACAGTCTTTATAGACTTACATCGAGAATATCTTCGTACCTATGCTTTACTTCATGGGAAGATATTAGCAACGCAAGGTTCGAATGGCTGTGAGGAGTTAGGAAACCATCATTTTTACTGATCACGGAAAGATCTTTCACGCTGAAATTATCTGATGTTGATTTTAAACATGCTAATTTTACTAGAAAAAAATAATTATTATATTAATAATAAACCTAATTAGTAAAAAAAATATCAGAGAGAGTTGGATGGACAAAATTGTCCTTGACAAATTAGGACGAAACCAATTGCCTGATGCCTCTTCTTGGGTCCCACACATTTTTCCCTTTACCCGTTTTATTTATTTATTTAATTTTGTTTTGCTTCCTCTTCCTGCAACTCTCTCTCTCTCTCTCTCGTGGAGGTCTGTAAGGACCAAAGAAAGTAAGGCATAAGAGGAAGAAGATCGGGGTAAGGTTTCAGAAAGAAGCAAAGTAATAGTACACTGGTTTTGACTTGCAGAGTATTGAGTTTGGTGTTTTCTGATTACGCCTCCATCCACAAGTTTGAAGCACAATAACAGAGGTATCTTATTCTCTGTCTAGAAAACGAATTCTTCTTCTGTTTGTGAGTTTGTATATTGCACCAGCTTTGTATGCATGACTTCAAGCTAAGAAATTTGCATGCATTATCTGGTTCTCTCTGGATTTCAAGGCTTTATTTAGTAGGCTGAAGGGGAGCTTAGAGTTTGGACTATATTTGCTGACAATTTTTTTTTTTTTTTTTATATTTGGTAACTTCATTTGCTTTTCAACCAAATTTTCGGTTTCCTTCTTTTGAGAGAATTCATGCTGAGAAGCTTCCATCTATAAATAATTTCAATACTAAAATTGTGAAAAATGAGCTTTGGAAATTTGGAATCTTATTCGAAATATGGTTTTGGGAAGTGGGTTGGAGTCTTAATCATCGTTTTCCTGCCAGTTATTGAGAAGTCCTTAGCTGGGTGTTTTTGTGTCAAGAGCAAATGTTTTGAGTTAGACTTCGATATACTCTTTGCACTTGGGTTGTAGAAGTAAATCCGCCCACCCTACTTCAACTTCTTTTATCATAATTTGTAAACCAATATCTGCGAAGGTTGCCAGTTTTGATGTTGATCCATGCTCTGATCATGATTGCTTTGCAACATTAGCGCTTTATTAAAGTGAATAGTGATTGATTAGGTATGGATGTTCTTTTTGATTACTCAATTTCAGCAATCGTGGCATTGGATACTTAAGCTCTGTCTCATTCATTTTCATTTTTACTCTATTGTATGACAAGTTTGTTATGCTTGTGAGGTCCTATACCCAGCTGGTTATTCGTGTTCCTCTTTAGGAGTTTATACCGTTATGGTTCATCTATGAAGAAAAAATATTCCATGAACAAAATAGTTTCTTCCTGTTCCTTCTTTCTTCTTTTCTTTAACATGGATTCTGGAATAAAACTCATTATAAGGAAAGCTCAGTGTCAAACTTTCCACAAACTATTTCAATTGTTTCAAAATACCCAAAATGATGAAAAAACCTTCAGAAGCTAGGCGTGGTTTTGTGTACAAATGTGATTGTAGATTTGATAGAACCAACCAAAAACCCAAATAATACTGGTGTTAGCTTTCAAATAGGAAACTGCCCAAAAGAATCTTAAGTGACTTGCTTTGGAATTCAAAGCACAAACTTCAACAAGCTCCACCTTGGTTTGAATCCCATCGAGCAAGTAAAAAAGATGATCTTCCATCATCTTCTCCAGCATGCTGAAAGGCACACAAATTAACCATTCTGTGATCAAGTTCAAGTTGATCTTGAACAAATTTGCAAAAACTGTAATCTCTTTTTCATTGATCATTATCTCCATCAATGCTTTGTGTAGATCTCACTGGATTAGTAGGTTTGTAACTTTGATTTACCACAAATGGAAGTTCTCTTTTGCCAAATTCCCCCACCTGGAAGGTCAAACCTTATGATTAGAACCTCCATACCATGGTACCCAAACCCGGATTCCAATCAAACCAACAACTGCGGTACTGATCTTCCTTTGAAACAAGCCTACCACCAAATCTGATCCCTAATTTTTGTGCGGAAAATGTGAGTGTGGATCCAAAACTAGCAGTACTTTTTCCAAATTGGAAACTTCCACAAAGACTCTTAAGTGACTTGCCTTGGAATTCAAAGTACAAATCTCAATAAGTGGTTAGTAGTTATAGCATAACCGTGCTGGATCTAGACACAATTAAGATTTAAGGATGTCTCATAGGCTCCACGAAGTATTCTGTATTATCTTTGTTTCTTAACTATGGATTTTCAAGCGTGTACAATATGCATAAATAAGTAAATAGTTTTTGCAGTAGATTTTCTGTTTTCTTATTTGCTAAGGTGTTAGAACCTTTTTTTTTTCAAAAGATTTGCTTTTATCCATTAAAACTTCTTCATTTCTTTGTTCGGTATAGATATCTGTGGAGCAAATAATACCATTCACCTTTCAAGCCATCAGAACTTCTTTATCATGTTTATCTCCTCTGGTTGCTCTCTAGTGTAGAAGTTTCTCAGCAGTCATCATCGAACTATGTGACTACAATTTGCCATTTCTGGTTGTACTAGTTGACAAGATAGACCAAAACAAATTGTGAACTCGTTTATACATCCGTTTCTTGTTTTGCCCTATTTTGCTATCTTCTTTAGCTAGAAGAACAAAAACGGGAAGAAGAATAGAAAAATGAAGGCATGTAATCCAAGCAAATGCTTTGACATGTGGCTTCTATTCTACATACTGAGTGTAGTAGTACTCAATAACTGCAAATGTACTTCTAACTAGTAGTCTGCTAAACTAGTCATATCACAATAACACAGATCAATTCATTTATTTTGAACTAACATGAAAGTTCCAATATCTTTGTGTTAGTTATTCCTTATATGATTTGCTTTTCATAAAACAGGTATCATGGACACAAGATCCATAAGATGTCTGGTTAACAGCATTTCTCGGTTCATTCATCTGGTAGCCTGCCAGACAGTCAAATCTGTGCCTATGCAGAAGGATTACAAGTATATGGTGGCTTTATTGAAACTTATGAAGCCTGTGCTTGATGATGTCGTTGACTATAAAGTGCCAATGAATGAGTTTCTACTTAAAGAATGTGAGGAAATGGACATAGCTGTTAACGAGGCTAGAGAATTCATGGAGAAGTTGTCTCCAAAGATGAGTAAGATATGCAGTGTGAGTGCCTAATGTCATCTCTTATTGTTCTTCAATATGCTTAAGCCAAAAGAAGTACTTGGTTTGCTATTGTTCTTTTGTTCTTTTTTTTCCTTAGCCAATGAAAGGTGCCTAGGTTCCTTAATGCCTAAGATCTCGTTGTGGAACCATGAAATTTCTTTCACTCTTTACATCAAGGACTGCAATCAGGCCAAAAAGGACAAAGCTTTGTCAAGAGACATACCTTAAGGGGGAATCAAAAGTAATTTGCTTAACGGGTCATTGATCATGATTAGAAGCAAATGATTCTAAGAGAACATGCTAGTTGTTTTTGTGTATCTGAGTGGGGGGGCTCTTACAGATGGTGGGTTACAGCTTATGGGGTAGACTGTGGAAGTGATAACATTGCCATCTGTAACTTCCCTTATCTAATGGACTGTCTAAATTAGCCCTTATCATGCTGCCAAGTGGCAGAAATAGGAAATCTCATTAGTTCAGACCTATCTAAAAAGGCTTAAAAGTTAGCTGTTTGGGAAAATTGTACATATGTAATATTCTTTTGCTTTATGAATAGGTTCCTTCTCAAGCAACTGTGTATAACTGGTTATTTAGTTTTTGTAAGCCATCCACCCCATATCCGTGTATAAAACAGATTGATCTTTTAATTTATCAAACTGTGGTAGCATACCTGGATGGTGTGACCTCTTTGGGTTCTACCTCCTTTGTTGATATAATTACTTGAATCGTCATTAGGGTGTTTCAGCATCATTGCCCATATTACATGTAATATGATTCTGATCTGATCAATAAAACAAAATTTTCAAATCAAATAAGTCTAAAGCTCTCTAATTCTCCCTGAAATTTCCCCTCTTTTTCAGACACATCCAACAGAAAAAAGGATCTTGCAAAAATCAAAATTTTATGGTCAAACTGCACACATGGGGAAGCTTGATTTATGATTTCCTCAAAGCCGGCATATTTGGGATTCTTTTTTTTTTTATAAGTGTATTTGGGATTCTCATATATATTTCATTCTTGATTCATGCTTTGATATGACCAGGTTCTAGAGAGTGAGCTACTGGCAACAAAAATCCGGGGATCTTCAGTGGAGATTTGCCACATATTGTGTACATTGCCACAGTCATCTCAATACACTTCCCTTTTAGCTCATGTTCAGGTATTTGGAGTTGAAATACTCTAAATAGCCTTGCAAACTTTTAATACTGTGTTCTTTTTGCATAAATTTCATTAGATGACTGTACATTTTCTGCTCTCTTACTGACAACGAAAAGTGAGAACTTATCTGTATTTAAACTGTCTTCAGCAATGTCTGCGGGAGATACAGTGTTTGGAGCAGGAGAAAATATCAGAACTCATAGAAGAGGCTATGATAGATCAAAGGGACAATGTCATCCCTTGCACTGAGAATCTTATAAGAATTGCTGAGATACTTGGTTTTACATCAAATCATGAGTTGTTGGAAGAGAGTATAGCCCTGGAAAAGGAGAGAGTGAAGGCCCAATTCAAGAAAAAGGATGAGTTAGACCATATCGATGAGTTAGACCATATCGATCAGATTGTATATCTTGTTGCTCATATTCGTGATAGCATGGTCAAACTTGAGCCTTTCGCAGCAATAAATGGTGTAGCCGTGCCTCCATATTTTCGCTGCCCTCTGTCATTAGGACTGATGTTGGACCCTGTGATTGTGGCATCTGGTCAGACCTACGAGAGGGCTTTCATCCAGAAGTGGCTTGATCATGGGCTGATTATATGCCCCCAAACCCGTCAAACTCTTAGACATACAAATGTCATTCCAAATTACACTGTCAAGGCTTTGATTGAAAATTGGTGTGACAATAACAACATACGGATTTTCAATAATGTTGACTGCAACAATATCTCAAGCCCATCCTTGTCTGATCATGCATCCCATCAAGATTTCATCCGCACTGATAGTTTCCGTAGTTCTCTTAACAGTAGCATTTCTACTTCAAGGTCCTCTCTTGGAGTCGGAAATGGATCTGAGATTCAAAGGCTTGAGGTCTTTTCAGGTTTGGGTGAGGACAGCAATGGAAGTTGCAGCAAGTTAACTCCAAAATGTGACCAACTATCCCCAGAACAATCATATAATCACAGCCGGACTGAATCTGTGTCAAGTGCCATTTCTAGCATAGAATATATGCCCACAGCTTTGACTACTGGTCTTTCTGAATTATCAAGGGTATCAAGTAAGCATGGGGATGCAACTGAGTTGTCTGGAGAAATCACATCCAAATGCATGTTTTCTTCTCCTTCAAATAGAAGTTCAGGGTTTTCCCCATGGTTGTCAGGGAAACAATTCTACAGTTCCAAAACTAGGGCGGAAGGGGCTGAAAATGGATGCATTGGCCATTGCCGTACTCCTTCTCTTCCATTTTCAGATTCTAGTTTGGATGAGTTGACCACTTCATCTCATGTGGAGAAACTGGTTGAGGATCTAAAGAGTCACTGCAACGAAGTGCAAACAGCAGCTGCAGCAGAGCTGCGGCTTCTTGCAAAGCATAATATGGAGAACCGTATCATTATTGCCCAGTGTGGGGCTATTGCCCCATTGATTTCATTGCTCTATTCATCAGTAAAGCTGTCCCAAGAGCATTCCGTTACAACCCTATTGAACCTATCAATCAATGAAGACAACAAGGCCATGATTGCAGAAGCAGGAGCAATAGAACCACTCATACATGTCCTCAAGTCAGGAAATTCATGTGCAAAAGAGAATGCTGCTGCAACTTTGTTCAGCCTCTCTACCTTGGAAGGGTACAAGATAAAGATTGGCCGTTCTGGTGCAGTAAAGGCCTTGGTTGACCTTCTGGGATCTGGGACCATCCGAGGGAAGAAAGATGCTGTTACTGCCTTGTTCAATTTATCAATCTGTCATGAGAACAAGGCAAGAATAGTGCAAGCTGGAGCAGTTAAATATCTTGTTGAGTTGATGGATCCAGCCACCAAAATGCTTGACAAGGCTGTTGCTCTTCTTGCAAACCTATCTACAATTCCAGAGGGGTGCTCAGCAATAACTCGCAACGGTGGTATCCCACCATTAGTTGAGGTTGTTGAAACAGGGTCCCAAAGAGGAAAAGAAAATGCCGCTTCCATCCTGTTGCAGCTATGCATTAATTGTCATAAATTCTGCAGCCTGGTCCTGGAGGAAGGAGCTGTACCACCTCTTGTTGCATTATCTCAGTCTGGTACACCAAGAGCTAAAGAGAAGGTATGTTTATGAATTAATCATTCTTATGTTAATCCTGAGCTTTTTCCTCCCTATCAATTAGAACAAAAGCAGTATTCCAGTTGCTAATCAAGCAAATGCAGAAAGATATAGCTTTTGTATGGTCTTGCTGCTTTTCCTGTGCACATCCACCGAGCCATCCATATATATACAAATATACAAAAATCTTATTAGTTTAGATTCTTGGGATACATTGTTGCAGGCGCAACAACTTCTCAGTCATTTCCGGAACCAGAGAGGAGGGACTATGAGGAAGGCAAAATCATGATCCAAAGATAGGAATTTTGTTATTCCCATCCAAATTTTGGTCTTCACGGGCTTGGCGTTTTCTTGCAACGGCATGATCATCACCAGCCGCTTGTTTGATTCTCCCATAAGATGTTCTAACTCCACATTGTCTCAAAGCGATGGATCTGAAATATTCTTTTCTATTTATATGCAGTAGATGAAATTTACACAATTATACAACAATGGTCGTGATGGATAAGAATTGCAGATTTTAGTCAAGATTTGTCGAGGAAGTAGATGGTTTATCGTGAACAGAAGTAACCTTGATTTGTGATATAGTAACTCAAACTTCAATGTGGTTGTATTTCAGAAATGTGTATATGATGTAATTCCGTTTGTCGTATGTTGTATAGCCATGGTATATAGGCATTCCTATTCTGTTCACCACTGCAAGAAATTTTATGATTTCTGGATTGTGTTGCTTATAGGGATCCTCCAAATTGATAAACAGATTTTTTTTATTCATAAAAGTTGAAATTTTTTCCTACTTTTACCAAAAATATCCAATTCGTATATTTGAGAAGAGTCTTCCACGACGTTTGCTGGAATTGCTTAAAGCTCTAAAACCCAGATTGCAGATTGTTCAGTTCCAAGATCCAATGGAGATGTCAAAATATGAGACAAATTAAAACCTCTTTTCGTCCTTGACCTCTTATCCGACATCTCTATCTAGTAGATCACCCCTTCCACGACTAGGGGTGATCATGGCCGGGCCCAATGCAGGCCCAAGCTTGGAAATTTGTGGGCTGGGCTGAGTTAAACATGATCACCCCTAACCGGTGCCAACTAGCTTGGCTAGGAAAGTCTCTGGTTGGTTGTAGTGGAAACTTGGGATCAAGTCTTGCCTTCATTCAGGTAACCTGAGTCAGGTTGAGGGTTTAGGGGTTGGGGGAGGGCCACCTCGTGTAGATATTACCCACCAAAAAACAAAAACACAATGTTTGAAAACGGGTGTTCGACAATATGGTTGGTTTTGCTTTTGAAAACAAACAATTACCATTTCAGCAAAAAACAATATGATTTATGCAACTATAGCGCGTCAAATGCGATCTTTCATCGAAGGTCTCAAAAACTGAGACCCACTAAACTGACCCCAAGTAGCGGCAATGGGTATGCACATTCTGAAAGCATGAGAATCCAGCCACACATTGGGAATATCTCCCCATGAATTTAGCATGCATTTATGGAGAGATATTCCTTATGTGAAGCTGGATGCTATGTGCACAAAGTGTTTGATTTCAAGATATCTGGGTTCCAAGTAGCATGTGTGATATGAATCTGGATCTCCTAAATAACAAGTAACAGTAGGCGCATTGTTTTTGACGGCATGACATTTAAAAAAAATGGTATTTGAATTTCTTATAAGTGTTTTATTAATATTTTGTTCTTATTTTATTGGAGTTATACATATTATTTTTATTTCTAATAGTATATTGATATTTTTGGCAAAATTAAGGCCATGTTTGGTTCAACTCTCATTCTTTTTCATTCTTGTCCAATATGAAATTCTAAAATAAACAAAAAATGGGTAAAATGAGAAAATATTGCTATGAACCAAACATTTTTCCTAAAAGATGATTTCTTTTTAAACCGCCAAGTGCCCAATGTTGCTCGTTTTCATTTTCAAAAAAAAAAAAAAAACAGTGTTAGTGGTCATAAACCACCAGCCTAGGTCTCCAAAATCATCAGCATATATGTTTACTGGGGGATGGCCGATGGTCACTACCCGTTGGCATAAGTTCCCACAGCAGTCTGCCAATAAACATTTATGGTGGTGGTTTTGTAGACCTAGGCCAGGGGTTTATGACTGCATAAAGTTTCTTTAAAGAATGAAAATGAGCAAGATGAGGATGATTATTTTTCATGCTATAGAGCACTTCAATTTTTGTGCTATGGGCTGATTTTTCGTTCTGAAAAAGAATATTGAGGCCCATGGAACAAATTTTGTAACCAAATGCTCTAATGTCATTCATTCTTCCCCATTCTTGTCCAAAATGGGTAAGAATCAAGCAATTAATCAAATATAGCCTAAATGGTTGAAACCAACACATGCTTAAAAAGAAAACAACCAAACCTACCACGTTTGGATTTTATAGACCAATCTGTTGCTCGCTACACTGTGTTAAAAACAACATAACCTATATAATTAGTGGGCATGCCAATGCTTTTTTTTTTTTTTTGAGAGAGAGAATCCAATGTTTCATATACATGTATGGGTCCTATGTGTATTGAACATTGGTGGGTGTGTTCAATCATGATTGGTTATGTCAGTTTTTACACAATGTAGCGATCGAGCAGCAGATTCCAATATATATATATATGCACTTCCCAATAACCTAAATAATTTCTTCTCCTAAAATTTCTCCTAAACAACCTCCCCCATTATCTCTCACTTTCTCCAAAGTTATATCTAATTCCTATTTATCTTCTAAATTATCTCTAATTCCTATTTATCTCCAAAATTATCTCTAATTTAGTAGAGTATTTCTTACCTAAATTATCTCTAATTCCTATTTATCTCCAAAATTATCTCTAATTTAGTAGAGAGTTTGTCTCCTAAATTATCTCTAATTTAGTACAGAGCTTCTCTCCTAAATTATCTCTAATTCCTATTTATCTCCAAAATTATCTCTAATTTAATAGAGAGTTTCTCTCCTAAATTATCTCTAATTCTTACTTATCCTCTCCCCTACTTTTTATCTATATCTATCTACAAAAGTTTCGATTAAAATATTAAGAATTATTTAAATATTCTAACAAAATTATATATCAACTTTAAAATATTTATTAAAAACACAAAAAATAGTTTTCATATTTTTACAAAATATATCACAAAATTATGTACTAACAATTTAAATTATGTTTTTCCAGATTATCAATTTAAATGTTTCTCAAACATTCAATAATAAGTAATACCTTTAAACAAATAAAATTCAAATAACAAAAAATTTTAAAGATTTTCTAGATTATTTAAATATTTATCATAACTAGATTTTAAATAGTTAAAATAACGAAATTATGTAATAAATTTAAAAATTTTCTTAAAAGTATAAAAATAATTACAACATAATATTGAAATTAATAAAAATTTAATATTTTACAAAATTAATAACGAAATTATGTAATAATAGTATAAGTTATGCTTTAATGGATACTTAAATTCAATAGATAATTAAGATTTTAAAATTTAAATATTTTACATATTATTTAAGTATTTAAATAACTAAATATTTTAAATAATAAAATATTTAACATAACTAGATTTTAAATAGTTAAAATAAAKAAATTATGTAATAAATTTTAAAAAAAGTCCGAAAAGTAGAAAATAATTATAACATAATATTGAAATTAATAATAATTTTAATATTTTTGCATAATATTGTAAATAACTAATTTCATTTATATCAAGTAATAATTTGAGAAAATAACTTTCAAAAAATATTTATTAATAATAATTTTAATCTCTTAACTTATATTTATTATATAATTATATATACCAAAATTAATATTTATTGTATTTCAGAAATTATTTATTGTTTTTGTGATAAATATATTTTCAATGATTATGTATAAATTTATTTTGTTTTGTTATTTAATAGAAAACTTTCAATAATTATTGAAGATTAAACTACTATTTATTGAAATTTTTAAATTTAATTTATTATACTTATTGTATTTATTGTATTTTTCTTATAACTTATTCATTAATATTTATTACAGATTAAACTATTATTTGATATTATACTATTTAATGACTAAGTTAATATATTTTTAGTACTTGTTGTATTTTTTTAATAATTGTGTATTATTGCTATAAATTTTCAATAATTAGTGGAGATTAAACTATTGTTATTTATCAGAGATGATATCATTAATTTTGCTGAAATTATGAGTGTTCAGGAGTTGATTCAGTTCGGTCGTAGGCTATTTGGCCAACCAAATTGACTTGGTCAAGTTGGAGAGTTGGTTAGTTGAAACCGACTAACCTTTTGTGAAAACCAACCCACTCAAGTTGTATTGGTTTGGGTCGATTTTTTTGTTTTGTCAGTTGGTTTAAACTTAAAAATTAATTTCAATTTTAAAAATTATAGTGCAATTATTAAAAAATAAATTTAAAAATTAGATTTATGATATAAAACATTTTAGACTAAGAAATATGGGAAATTTTCCACTTTTCCATGCTAAAAATTATATTTAAAATATAAAATATTAATATATCCATGTTTAGATCGTTCGGTTTTGGTCAGTTTACAAATGGCCAAAGTGAAACTAATCCAACTTGGAAAATTTTTTAACCTAAGCCAACCTAAAATACTAGAAAACCGACCAACTCGAGGTCGAGTTGATCGGGTTGGTCAGTTTCATTAGTTTGATGACTAAACCTAACTAAAATTAATTATTGTTATTTTTGTATTATAAAAAAATTATTAAAAGTAGTATATAAAATATGAATAATTATTAATTATTTAAAAGTTGAAAATATAAAACAATTGTATACTCTTATGTGTTTCTATTAGGGTCATTTACTAGAACACACCTTATAGTTTTACATATTTACTTAAACCTACTTTATAGTTTTCATTTTATTAAAGAATCACATATATCTTACAACATATTTATTTAATCGACCTTTCATTAAGGAGTGTTTATTTCGCCATTAGGCCCATGATTTTTTATTCCAAAAATACCCTTAACAATATTTTTGTATAGAAAACAAAATTTATCAAATATAGCTAATAGAGTGGTTGCATGTATCTTATTAAGGGCAAAAATGGTATTTTTATTTTTTATTTTCTTTTAATTAAATTTATTTAAATGAACATTAGGGTCAACACTGTCATTTTCCACTGTCATCTAATGAAAGATTGATTAAATCCATTGCAAATTATAAGTGGTGTTTTAGTAAAATGCTAACTATAGGGTAGATTTTAGTAAATCCATGAAACTATAAGGGGTATTTTAGTAAATGTCAATTTCTATTGTTTAGCTTTCACTTAATAAATTCCGTGCATCGCAAGGGTCCCCACTAGTTAGGTTTTATAACCATCTGGGCTTAGGCTAACTAACTTTTTCAAATTTTCATGGCGAAATCCCTAGGAGTCCAATAACACTCTTTAGTTTTGTTCATGTGGGGATCAAGTTAATTGGGTAGTCCATTCTATGTTTAGAATCTCAATACCTTAATGAAGATTTTGACTTCAAAAATACATCATTTTCGTGAAATACAATGTATTATTGAGGTTACGAACACAATGGTTCCTTATTTTCTTTGTTTTTTTAATTTTTTTTCCTATCTTTTGCCTTGTTGAGTGATTTTAGTCCTACTTGTTGAGCACACATGCACACAAGGTCTCCATTCTCCAACTCCTTTTGGTTTTTCTCTTATTTTGTATCCCAGTTTTCTTTCGATCTTTGTAACCATTGTAGTTATTCTTGGGCATGTTTTATAACCATCTCTTCTAGCTAAATTCAATGCATCCTTAACTCTTCTAGAGGTAGGAGGAGCTATAGATAAAAACTAAGAAAAAAATATTACAAAGATTGGCTTTTTTGTTCTTTGTGTTTTGAAAGCGAAATATATTATCGTTCACCATTTTTTCCTTACTTTCACTTTATCTTCTATTACATTGGGTATGCATAATGAAGGGATTTATTGTTTTAGCTATTGCATCCTAGAGGCTAGATGCCTAAAACCTTTTACACCAAATGAGCATATTTCCAAAGGTGATGAAATTAATTATAACAGCTTGTAGCAGTTATATGGCTTGGTCAACCAAGTCCAAGTCACCAGCCAAATGGGCCATTATGGCTAGGATAAGGCGAATGGAGGCAAATCTCACAACCGGTGAAAATGCCTCTTCGTAATCTATACCCTTTATTTGGATATAAACCTTTGCTATAAGTCAGGTCTTAATCCATTTGTCTTGTGCTTTATCTTGAAAACCCATTTGTTTCCAATGGATATGCGCCCAGGTGGAAGGTTAACTAATTCCCACACATTGTTTTTTATCAAGTCAATCTCATCCCTCATAGTAGTTAGTCGTTCACTATATGTGGGTGAAGATAGGGCCTCTTGATAAGATGTAGGATCATCAATCTCAAGCGGAGTGCATGTGAACACTTCCCCTTCGATTTAAAAATAACGACAAGGAATTTGTCCGCATTCACTTCTATGCAAACTAGAACTTTGAGAATTACTATACATAGATGCATCCCAACTAATAGGAGCACTCTCATTAGACATTAAGACACCCCCACTATCCTTGGTGATGTCAATATGAGTTTGAAATTCCCCACCCTCACCAATAGATCTGTTTATGGGTCGGGTCGGACTTTTACTTTTCATAAATAGAAATTTGTTAGGCCCAGGCCCAAGCCCAAGCCCAAGCCCGGCCCTGATAAAAAGCCCGAAGCCCGAGCCCGGGCTTTTATTCATTGCCGGTGACTGTGTTCGCCGGATCTGAGTTTGTGGTGAGCTGCGATTTTAACAGTGAAAAGTGTGCCAGTTCGCGTCTGAGAAAGAGAGAGAGAGAACTCACCGCCGTTGCCGGTGCCTATATTTGCCACCTCGCTGGTGTCTGAGATTTGAAAGAGAAGTGAGAAGAGGAACGAGAGAGAGAGAAGGAGAGGGCTCACCGCCGGAGTTGTTGCGCCGGTGAATGTTCGCCGCCTCGCCGGTTGTGTGGCTGCCTGAGAGTGTGAGGATTGAGGAGGATGTGAAGAGAAGAGAGGTTCGGCTAAGGGGAAAGAGGTGAAAGAGAAGAGAGGTTCGACTTAGGGTTTTTTAAGCTTAGTCTATAGGTCGGGCCGGGCCGGGCTATTTTAGCAAATCCTGAGCCCAACTCGAATTTATTGCGGGCCGGACTTTTTGGCCCGAGGATAAGCCTGCGGGCTCATTTGCATGTTCAAACCCGTTTGGGGGCCGGCCCATGAACAAGTCTACTCACCAAGTGATGGTGAGATTTTTTATGTAACTCATACAGTTCTAGATCCCCTCTAATTTCACCAATATTCACGAACTCACCCTCAAGATATTCAACATTGCAAGACTTCGTTCCAGTCATACCCCCAACAAGTTGTTCACCATACATCACATATCCCTTTGAAACTTTCAGGGTATCTTAATTCATATGGAGTAAGTAATAGGCACTAACTTGCTTAGGACACAATTAAGAATGTAGGTTGCAACACCATTTTGTTGCAACCATATCAAGAAAAGTACAATTCGTTCGCGTTGCAACACCATTTTGTTGTGAAGTAACAGGAATAGTAAGTTGTTTATGTATGCATTTTTCCTCACAAAATGTCTTGAACTGATCAAACAATGAAGCGCTTGAAACAACCTAAAACTTCATAGCGGTGAACTAACAAATATACATACCTAAACCGTGAGAAGTCATGAATTAAAGTGAGGAAATAATAAGCATCGTGTTGTGCCATGGGGCTACAAATGTCGAAATGAACCAACTCTAGTGGATAAAAGGCCCTTAAAGCTTTTACCAAAAGGCTTTTTGCATGCATGCCTTCCCTGCCAAACATGGCTTGCATATTGTTAGGTTGACCTTAGCGAGTGACCCTAAAAGGCCTTTTCTAGCGAATCTAGTCATCTTATCTTGATCAATATGGCCAAGTCTAGCATGTTAGGTCTTGCAACAGGGAAACTAAGGCATCATAATTATTATCAAGTGTAAAGAAACCATGAGATAAAAACCTATGGCTAAGTAAACAAACATCCATCAAAGAAAATGTCAAAATGAAGGGAGTAACTTAAATGTAGCAAGGCCAGAACATAACACAAATTCCATTTGACATTGGGAGCATATACCACATCATGTAGGAGTAGTGTACGTCCACTATGCAACTTTAGTTAATACGATCCAACTCCAAGGATTTCTTCTTCCTAGCGTGACGTATTATTGCGTGTCTGTTAAAACCTGATGGTAATCTACAAAGCCAATTCTATCTCGAACTACATGCTTGTTTGCTCCTGTGTCTACAACCCAATCAAGCAGAGCATGAGTACACACAAAAGTATTGAAAGAATTGAACAAAGAGGGAGGGCACCTTCTTAGGCTCAGAGCAAATGTCAAGCATAAGCATAATGGCCCTTCTTTCCATGATTACTTAACTACATCTTTCTTTCCTCCGTGCTTGCCTCTACGATGCTTAGCAACTCCACCATTTTTTGGGCCAATGTTTTGATAAGAACCTTGTCCACCCTTGCGCTTAGGCTTGAATGCCTCATGCTTGCTCGTTTGGGTGGCAAAGGGCAGAAACGGTAACACGATATGCTTCACAGCACTCAAGTTATCGTAAAACAAGAGTTTCATTTGGGCCCACTTAGGGAATGTATCACTGCTCACACTTGTTGCTCATCGATTAAATTAAGCAAGGGTTTGGATGTTAGGAACATAATTTAAATTATAAAATTGATTTGATTATAATACCTCAACCTACATTATACAATCATCTCCCATGACATATGTTGAGATATTAAATCCAAATAATTTTAAAAATAAGGAGCTCATCCCATTTTCCACATTTAAATATGGAATCAATCTGTACAAATAAAATGTATACAACTACTTCCCAAAGCCTTGTTGGAGTTCCAAGTATTCATGCCAAGACAATCATAACGAAACACATCCCCTTACAACGCCTCTCAAAAATAAGTACAAAAGATTACAAATTAATGACAAAAATCGAGGATGTCGCATTGCCAGTAAAACTAAAGTTGTATTATTGTCCATACAACATCCATAAGTAAACAAATAAATAAACATAATAATAAAAGTGGATTTTGCTAATGGATAAAACTTACATTCCATCTTAGAGGAAAAGAATTAAATCACATACTTGGAATTGCATAATCATGCCAAAGAATTCAAAAGTGCATGAACATTCTATTGATATCATAAACATATTAAACTTTCCTTCCGTAAAATGCAACGATAATAATGACCAAGATTTAATCTATACTAGCATGACCGTATCTAATCAGGCCCATAATCATTGCATAGTGATCATAACAGTACAAAATTAATTATGTGCTTAAAAACAATAAAAAATTATACTATCACCTAATAATATGGTTTTTCAAATAACTCGTTATCAGATGGGTTCTGCGCCAAACATGCCCCAAAGGGCTATATTCCTCAACCGCAAAACAGAGGCTTTTCCCCCTCCCGCTCTTCTATTTTTTCACATTTTCATATTCCCGCTCTCCCAGTCCACCTCTACGTGCTCCTTCTCTCGCAGTCGTCTCGCACCATCGAACTGCCGATTTCTATTCCTGCACTCCTCTATATTTCTCGGTCGATCATTTCTGATTTCTCTTTGCTCCTTTTCTTACGGTCTTCCCGCACCATCAAATAACACCAACCGGCAATGGCATTGCCAACGACAGACTTCCTCGGATTTGAAGCTCTAAAGCTCGAGTTCATTTCCTGACGGCATCAGCAATGGTAGACCACTTCTTAGAGTGCAGTCAGAAGTGGGAGACCTCCTTGGATTTGAAGCTTGAGTTCATTTCCCGACGAGGCAGATTTCTCATAATCAGGCCACGACCTTCTTGGTTCAACGAAGGCCCTCTCTCGTTTTCCTTTGTTCAGAAATAGCCTCCTCGTCTCAACTTCTGTGCACATCTCATATCCTTGTCTGTTCACCACAGATGGAAGGTAAGATTGAAAACCTCCATGACCTAGGATAGTTATCCCCCTTTTTAGGATTGAACATTTGCCACGTATGTTGATATTAGTAGGGAATCTGGTATTGTCTTCTTGAACTTTTGTTCGTTCATCACATTCTTGTTGAATTTGGTGTTATCTTCTTGAATTTTGTTTCTAGATTTGCTTAAACTTCTGTAAGTACGTTAGTAGAATCATGTTGATTAGCTTAAGGGATTCAGGTGGTTGGGCTGTAGATCTCTGTTGATATGCTAGTAAAAAGTAAGTTATTATAATATTCCCCTGTTGATATGCTATTGAGTATTTTTTTTTATCTGATTCATATTCTAATATTCTCCTAATGGTATGCTAGTAAATAGTAAGTTATTATAAGTTTCTCTGTGCTATCCACCGGACAGCACAATCGGCAACAGTAGTGTCAACAGCGTGGGTTTCGACTACCCCTATCATGTTTCACTCGTACAGACGAAGGTAATTCTCCAACTCGAAATTTTTTTTATTTGGTTTGGTAGTGACTCAATAATTTCTAATGCTTTATTATATCTATCTGTTTCATATTATTTCATAATCTTAGTTTCTCCAACTCGTACAGACAAAGGTACATGATTTTATTGACCTAATCTACCCCAACTGTTATTATATTTCTCTGTTTTATATTAGTTCTTATCTGGCAGTTGGTATTTTAATTTCCAATGCTTTATTATTCTTTTCATTTTATAGATTTGTGATTGCCACTTGGTTCTTGGGTTATCTCAATATTTCCTTGACTTGCTAATTCTTACTAAATTGTTTAGACTGGGTTATCTTAGTATCTCAGATTTCCTTGATTTGGGTTATCTCAATATCTCAAACATGCTATAGCCCTATGCGTTTGTAAATATACTCATTTGGGTTTAGAGTTTAGAGGGCAATGCTTTTGATATCAACATTGTGTCTATAAATTTCTCACAAAAATGGAATATTGAGTTTGCAATGGAACAACAAAGATCTACTCATATCTTTGTGATTTCATAATTTGTTGGAATCTTATTCTTGACAAAAAGTCACAATCAAAAACATCATTTTGATGAAGCCTAGTTACTTGATTCATATTTTTCTTATTCAATTCTTCAACATTCTATTGAATTTCTGGCTTCAGTTCCTCGAATTCACTCAAAGCACTCGATAATTTCTAATGAAGAACATCAAAAGTATAAAAAAACACTTGATGAAAAAACTTTTTCTCACAGGTATAAAAATGGTAGTAACACCTTCTAAAAAGAATTGTTTACATTGTACTGACACCTTGGCATGACATAGTTTATGTAATCAGACTGGAGAACATAAAAGCACATTAGGATTATTGGTTTGGATTTAATAGATAAAGAAAAACCTCGTTCTGCAGTCCTTATTATATTTTTACCAACATTTAAACAATCTCTTAATGATCTGTCAAAATTGTCAAAAGAAGGTTCAGTTCTAAGCTTTTAGTTTCTGAACACCACCTTCTACTGATTCAGCTTGATGCACCTGCCGTCTTTGTGATTAACGACAATGGATGTGTGGCAACAACTTGCCCCTGATTAGCCAACAGTTATTTTGGTGGTCATGGCTTCTGGTACTATTGACATTTCGTTTGCTACGGACAACCCTAAAATCAAAGCCATTCTCTGGGTTGGTTATCCTGGCCAAGAAGGTAGACGTGCCATTGCAGATGTTGTTTATGGAAAATACAACCCTGGTAATTTAATTCTGATTAATTAGTCAATTACCTTCTCTGATCATCCTCATTTATTTCATTATCTGATTAATTTTTTGTTCTATATGTTGATTTATTAGGTGGAAAGCTCCTACAATTACTTATACTACAGATTTTAGTAGCATCATATTTTTCCCCAATACATATAGACCAATCAACCACTTTGCTACGCTTAATTGATTGTTATTATTATTATTATTATATTTTTTTATGAATCTTGAGTGTAACAACTTAAGTGATTGTTATATACTTATATTCACATATCTGCATTTTTATTTATACAAAGCTTGTCTACTTGTTTCATGTTCTAGTAATATTTATATGAGATTTATGTTATCTCAAATGTATTAGCTTATTCCACATATGGTAGCTTTCTATTGAAAATCATTTGGCATTTGCTATACTAATCACTTTTTATTATTTGGTGACAAAAGAACAAGAGCAATTACAGCAAGATGTGCCAAGCAACTCATATATAAATTAAGCTAGTCCTTGCTACCTTGCCTACCTTCCCTCTCCCTTGTTCTAATACAACCAGAGTTCAGATTCCCAAGGAGTAACCCCCATTATTTTTCACTTGCTTAGGAAATATTTTCTCGAAGCTCTTGGCTGATCTTTGGGTTCAAGTGAGCTCTCTCAATTCTCTCACCAAATAACTTATTTCCCTTAGTGTGTGTGTGTGTCTACTCTGCCATGTCCTGGGTTAATTACATTTGAGTTCGTTGCCAACTTGATACTTTCTTCTGCATCTGACACTAATAAGTGTCTGTTTAAGGGTCAAGGCACATGATTACTTAATTACATTCTGATGAAAAGAGGTTTGGGTGGGAACATCCTTTTATGCTATTTCTAAGCTTCCTTATCGGAATAATAGAAAGTTCAGTTGTCTGCTTTCTTCTTTTTGTTCACCAAAATTATTAAGTACGCATATAATTCAGTTGTGTGCCTTGTAACAAACTTTGGAGTGTGCTTTGTTGCTTCTTTTTCTTTTGATTTGTAACTTGATAACTTTGGTTGCTGCTATAATGTAATTTTATACAGAGGTAATGTGGTAGATATACAAACTTGAGAGCCTTGAACTGTATATTACAGTTCCCCCAATGCACCCTTGACCCTTCTATTCTGGAAGAAAAGAAACCAGATTGCCAAAGGAATCTGCTAGATCATTTGTTGATCTTCTAATCCATCAGAATGAGAAGTTCCTCATAGCTACTACTAGTGAGGGAACGTAGCACATCAGAATACATTGTTTTTCTAATACTTGTTAACTACTGCAACATTTCCTTTTATGTCCCTTTCTTGTTCTCTATCAAAGATCTATTCATCTCTGACCTTTGTTAACAGTAATGATGCCAAGTTGTCTCTCTTTCATATTAATGTCAATCATGACCATCTCTTAAAGCAGTTTTATTAATTACAATTTTTTGTTTAATACTTGGTTTTTGCATTATTGGTGTTTAATGTATTCTGGTAACAACCATTTTATACGCAGAAGGGTCCTTGCCTCTTCCCTGGTCCATCAGGATGAAAATTGCATTTGGTCCTGCAAAAGGCCTTGCCTTTCTTCATGAAGAAGTTGAAAGGCCAATCATATATAGGGACTTCAAAACATCTAATATCCTGTTAGATGCGAAAAGTGACTAAAAGTACAAGTCTAAACTCTTTTTAAAAATATTATTGCTCTTCAAATGAAATGTTGTTCCGGGAATATAATGCAAAGCTTTCAGACTTGAACTTGCCAAAGATGGTCCGGAGGGTGATAAGACTCATGTTTCTGGGATTTGCTATGTCCCACCTAGGAGATTTCCTAAAACTAAGAAGACCAGAAAACGTGGTCAAAGTTTGTACTGATGTGGGCTTTTTAGGCAATCTATGTTTTCTTTTTGTGGGACAGTTGTATGAGTTAGGGGTACCCAATGGCTTCTATTTCTCCTGGTAGATTTTTATATCTTCTACAAACATGTTGTGTACTACTTTTCCAAATAGAACATCTAAATCCAGAAGACACTTAATTCAGTTTGCCGACATCATTATACATCTAAAACCTTCACAAGGCAATAGAGTTGGTTGGATTCCTACTTTGTGGTTGTCAGTTTTATTAGATTGAATGATTATTACCCTTGTAGTTGTTAACACTTGATATCCATACCCATACTTTGCCCAGAAGTCTTAAAATTTGCTTTTCTTAGGGTGAGGTGTGATACAATTCTTGGGTAGTAAGAATGATTTAACATGGATTTCTTTTGACATGGAGAAAAAGCAACTGGGACCTTCTTATTGAATCTGCGGCATTTGCTCGTCCTGCTTGCTTGCATACATTGCCAATGGTGGAAAGTTTTTATGGTTAACATGATTGATAAACCAGCATTTTAATAATCCATCTGCAATGGGGCACCACTATGAATAATTATTGTTTGACATCACTAAAGGATAGTTTTACTTGAAGTTTGGAGATAAATGTATTCAATTTGATCTTTACTTTTTGGGCTAAAGTATGCCATTTTTTCCTTCTACATATTGATTGACATTCCAACTTGATATCCATACCCATAAATGTATTCAATCAGAATCCAGTGGCAATACAGATGGTAGAGATAAGATTCAGAGTGTAGATTCTATTATTAACTCCATGGGGCCTATTGTAGAGGAGTCCAAGCATTTAGAAAATGGTGATGCCTCCATAGTTGCTCAAGGTAATGAATTGGAAGATGGGATCTCTAGCAAATAAAACAAACCTCAATCCATGGTACCGATTTCCATCCTACACCCAGAAATAAAGCAGGAAGCTGAAGCTGAAGCTCAAGACCTAGAAGAAGGAGATGATGATGATAATGATGATGATGATGAAGGACCAGTTTCAAATGAAGAAGCTGAAGGTGTGATGTTTGGAAGCTCTGAAGCCGCCAAACGGATCATGGAGTTGGTGCAAGGAACAAGCACTAGTTCTCACTTTAGTTTTGAAAGCTCCCTTGATCATTCTCAGAGAATTGATGGACAGATTGCTACGGACACAGATGAAGAAGTGGCCGGTACGATCAGTACAAGTGGTTGGAAACACGAGGGGCGGAAGAAGAGAGCTTGGTTCAGACCCTATTGAATTCTTGTACAAACCAAGAATTTATCAAATTGAAATTAAAATGTATTTGTAATTCAAATATTTTTGAATAGAGAATGGTTTTTTAAATTTTATTGTAATTGATGTTTTTTCTTTATTTTTCATATTTTATTTCGATTTAAATGAATATAGAGAAAACAGGTAATTTGAAGAAAATAAAAAAAAGGTTATTTGAAAAAAAAAAGTATACTTTTAGCGGCAGTCGCAACTGCCGCTAAAGAAGTTGAAGGCTGCCGGTAAAAAACATATGCCAAGTTTATAGCGACAGCTTAACATTTATACCGGAAACCACGAAAACAGCCGCTAGAATGTATAGCGACAGCTCTTTTAGCGGTAGTTTGCTGGCTGCCCGTAAAGACTATAGCGGTAGTTTTAGGGACTTTTAGCGGCAATCACGTCATTTTTCTTGCAGTGTCACTAACCAACATCTCCCACTCGACTAGTAATGGAGTGTGTAACCTGACAAGGAAAGATTGTGAGGAGTGTTATATTAAGCCACCATCTACTAACATAACACTACAACTCTATATCTCGTCTATACCCTAAGTCATTTAATTACACTTGATTTATCACCTCTGATTCCTTTATTACATTGGACAACAAATATCTATATAATTGCTTGAGCTATGAGTTACAAACCACAAGTGTAATTTCAAAAGACTTGTTCTTAGACCCTCATAGTAATCCATTTAATGCTTAAACATGCTCCATTGGATTGCATCGATCATGACCCTTGGATAACACCCTAAAGTAACAACACCAAGCATCAGCTTCATGCTATAGTTCTAAGTCACAAAGGGTATAATGTTTGGGCTAAAAGTCCATAGGGCTCACATGGTGATGAAATAGGGATCTATTCGATCACCCCCATGATGGTCGTCAAAAAGCACATATGGTATGATGTATGCTATGGTGGAGATCCCACTTTACAGGACATGTCACACTCCTATGCCATATGAATCCTAGTCTAGGCACTACACAATTGGGTAACTTAAGTATCTTCAGCCTAATCGCTAATGATAGCGATTAATTAAGTACTCACATTCAACTACTGAATAGGTTCAATATGCAACTACGGAAATATAGTCATATTTGATTTTACTGAATCTCATCTTAGACTTACTAAGGAAGTTCAAATATCAATTTCTCCATATTTAAAACTTTATATCTCAACACCTAGACAATCACCTGTGTGAGAGGGCCGATAATTATATGAGCCTTGTGACATTACAATTATGTACCACATAAAAATCAATTCATTAATGATAAAAGAGATACAATAAATCTCAAAGAAAGAGTCAATACATCAATAATCAAATCAAACCCTACGTAATCTCGAGCAATGGACTTAGTCAAAGAGTCAGCCACCATCTTGCTAGTGGAGATATGCTTCACAACTATTTTTCCCTATCTGATTACAACTCGAATATAGAACTTGGGGTACTTAGCAAATTGTATGGCAACCATGTTATCACAGTAAACTGCCATCACGACTTTGTTTGCACTACCTATAGTGTCTAATCGTTGTAGGAAACTCCTCACCCAAATAGCTTCTTGAAATGCTGTACAACCCATAACATACTCTGACCCCATCATTGATAGAGCAATGTAATCTTGTTTTCTGCTACTCTAAGAAATAGTAGCACCTCTAAGTACATACACATATCCTGAGGTGGATTTGCACTCATCTCTATCACCATTCTAATTTGCATCAATGAAACACTTTAATCTCAAGTCCCCACTTTGATAGTAGAGAACGAGATTAATTTTACCACGAAGGTAGCAAAAGATCCTATTAACTGCTTGCTAAAAACAAGTCTAGGGTTGTTTTGGTAACAACTTACCAAACTAACAACAAAGCAAATATCGATTCAAGTACCTAATATAGCATACATCAAACTCCCAACTGCATTCACATAAGGAACCATACTAGTGCGATCTTTTTTCTCATTTGTTTTGGGGAAATGATCAAGATTCGAATTGTTGACCCTTCTCAATTGAAGTATCAACGGGTTTTGAATAATGCATCCAAAAGCATTCTAAAATTCTCTTGATATAAGTTTTTTGAGACAAACCTAAAAGTCTTTTAGAACGATCTCACAAGATTTCAACTCCAAGCACGTATTTTGCTTTACCATGTCCTTCATCTCAAAAGTAGAGGATAACTACACTTTAGTAGCATTGATTATTTCCAAATTATTCCTAACCAATAAAATGTCATCAACAAACAAAGTGAGTAGCAATACTCCTTCTCTGTTTTCTTGACATATACACAGTGGTCTTCATCAACCATGGTTATCCCAAAGGAAGTTATAGTTTCATGAAATCTCAAATACCGTTGCCTAGATGATTGTTTGAGACCATAAATAAATCACTTAAGACGACACACTTTGTTGTCTTGACTCTCAGCAACAAGTGCAATAGGTTGATCTATATAGATCTCTTCACCTAGTCCTCCATTGAGGAATGTAGTTTTGACATCCATTTGGAATAATGTCATCCCATATTTTTGGAATAATGACATCCATTAAGGGATGTAGTTTTGAGGGGGGAAGTCTAATGTCATCCTATATTTTTGGAATTGTATAATTGTTTATTACTCTTATCAACCCTATAGGATTAGGATTGATATTACCAAACAGTTTTTTTTTTTTTGTTTCTTGCATCCCAAAAGAGTCATAAAGCAATAGCAATCATTTGTATCGTCTTTTTCTTTTTCTTTATTGGTTAAAAGTGGAGGCAAAGTATTCAGCCATTGTTATTGTAGGTACATATTGTTACCATGATTACATTAGCACGAAAGACGCTAAACCAATGCTACAGAAACACCAGCAACAAGTTCACAACCTGTCACAGATTTRMGATGAGCTTAAGGTCACCATAGACCTGCAATGAACTCAAAGCCACTGTACCGATAATGAACTTGAGGTCACCATTGACCTACGATGAGCCCAAAACCATCACAAACTTACGATGAGCTCAGAGCCATCATGAACCTATGATGAGCTCAAAGCCATTGCAAATCAGCGATGAACGAAAAAATATAACGACTAGTCGATATCACTCATGACAAGACGTCCAATAGGATTAAGAGAGAAACGTAAGGTTAGCATGGACATCATCCATGCCCCACTAGTATAGGAATTTCACAAAAGGAAGTAATATATGTATATTATGAGAATCCTCAAATGAAAGAAACCTCGTTCTGAAGATATATCTCATAAAACATGTGGCGAATCCTTAATAGTGTCCCCCTAGAAATTAACACTGAATCAAAGATTCCCTTTCCAAATGGGAATTAAACTCTTTTGAAGCCTTCCTTTTAGAATCTCAAAATCTTTCTCTATAAAAAGAGAGACATGAATCATAATGAGGGGCGATTCTCTATCAAGAGAAGACCTTAGCTTACCCTTTCCTCCTAACCTTCCTTCGTCTTTCAAGGAGACCATTGCACGTAGCCTTACCACACCACTCACAGTTATATGTATGGGGCAACCTATTTACTGTTGCCTCATTGAATTTAATGTTTAATCTTGTCCACAAAGCTCTTGTAAAAGAAGAAAAATAGGTGATTATGTATTTCCATATTTTGTTAACAAAGGGCACATAAACAAAGTTCAAAGTATTGATATGATATGCCCCATATCGAGCATATCGTATTGTATCTTTGGGTGCCCAATACACCTGTTGAAGGGATGGGATATCCATCACATGGACGCCCAAGTCTTGTAGAATGGATAGGGCGAATTTCAAAAATTTCTCCCACCTTTGCAGAGAATCGAATTCCCTATATTTACAAAAACATGTTTTTCAATGATCAATCTTGAATCAAGAACCAAACCCGATCTAAACCAAAAGGATTAGGAGGGAGGATGTACCTGATACAGAGAAGCAATATCTCCCAATGGAGGTGTTCACGCCCAAGGAAGGATCCAAAATCTGCTCCCACTGAAGATGACGCAGTGCAGGATGGAGTAGAATCAGCAATGTTCTTCCAAAAGAACTTGACCCTTTGCAAGAATCAACTGGACGGCATGTGAGTACAGCTCCAATC